TATAGGAAATGGGGTTTCATTCAAATAGAAATACTGAGGACTGATCAAGTAGTGCTATTTCAACGAGAATAATTGTAGTTTTACTGGAAAATCAACAGTAGATGTACAAAATACTGTGCAGAATTCGTTCTTATCATTCATAAAGGTCACTTTCGTATTTGATATAAACCAGAGAATGTATTAGGTGAACTGTCTTTTTTAATGTAACACTGTATCTATGTATACGCCTTAGTAAGATAACTATAACTTAAGAAAGATGTCTTTCAAGTTTCTATCTTGAAATAGAAAGTTCACAAGTTTCTCACTATTCGCAGTGTAATTTATACAGAGGTTTATTGAGATATGATCCTTTTTGCGACAATGGCGAGAGATGAAGTGTTGGCGAATTTTGTCTGAACTCCGTCTCATTGTGGCCATTTGCTGCACAAGTTTTAGCTCTCAAGTATTTAATGGGCGTATCTGTGAGATGTCGCTTGCCAATGCGGCGACCACAGCTAAATCTAATGAAACTTTCAGAATTTGTAGAACTCATTGCTCTGATCATTTTGGTTATAGATTTTTTAAGGGTTCCCGCTTATTCTAAAATAATCAGTTTAATACCGAGTTCTTTTTAAGTTTTAGAGCAAGTTCAAAACCTATAATGGTTTTTTCTGCGGATACAAACTCGGAACGTTTGCAACAAAACCTTTATAAGATTCGTAAGATGAAAAAAGGTTCGATATGAAAGATACAAAACTATTCAAGTTTGATACGACATCTTATAGACTTCGTAGTAAGCCCCAAGAGATTTGTACGAAACTTCGAAGGATTCGTATCAAACTTGAATAGTTTTGTATCTTTCATATCGAACCTTTTTCATCTTACGAATCGTATAAAAGTTTCGTGGCAAAGGTTCGAAATTTGTATCCTCAGGAAGAACCATTATAGGTTTTGAACCTGCTTAGAAACTTAAAAGGGTTTAGTGTTAAACTGATTCTTTTTAGAGTGTATTCTCATAAAGATATATATCAAATACTAACAATGCATTTTTGCATACAATGCATTATTTTGCAAAAAACGGAAAAAACTGTATCTTTCTCAACAGATAAGTAATTGTCCATTATAACCTATTCAAATTAGAAAACCAATAACATATTCAGAATCGTCGTGAAAAACTGCGTCAGAATTCTTAGATATCTAAAAGATTTTCATGCTTTCATTAAGAGTTTACTTGTTCTCTGTATGACATAAGAAAGAAGGAAAGTACATCACAAAATTTAATTAGAAAATGGGAATGTGTTTTGATGGTAGCATAGTCAGTTCGGAAATTTTCCAGAATTGTAAATATTCTGACGCAGTTTTTTTACGAGGATTCTGAATATGTTATTGGTTTTCTAATTTGGGTAGATTATAACGGACAATTACATATTTCTTGAGCAAGATACAGTTTTTTTTCCATTTTTGCAAAATAATGCATTTTATGTAAGGATGTAACAATATCAATACGGTATTGGGATTTTGGTATTGATGTTCATAGTTTGCCAAGAAAAATCAAACCCGGCAATTTTGAAAAACCGATTATGGATTCCGATTCCTCGTTCTCGAAAAGCTTTGATCAAACTTTCAAAACAATCGTTATTTTCGAAAAATACCTTGTTTTCGACGAAAAAATCAAGGATTTATAGTCGATTTTTCGAAATTTTCGAGTTAAATTTTTCTTGGTCAGCTACCAATACCAAAACGGTATTGGTATCCGAAGTATTGGTATCGTTGCATCCCTAATTTTATGCAAAAATGCACTGTTAGTATTTGACGTAAATCTTTATGAAAATCGGGTTGATCCTTTAAAAAATTTATAAACAAAATAATCAGAACAATGAGTTCTACGAATTCTGGAAGTTTCACTGCATTCATGTATTAATGAAAGATGGTATTTTACAATTCCAAGCAATGTAATTTTTACACAGACGAATGATGTACGGCTGATTTCAGCCGAAAAAAATTATGACAAGTATCGAATCATAGAAACAAGAATATAATACCAGGATTCGATGGCCGATTTGTTTCATTTTCTGTCAGAGTTGAATATAATCGGTCGCTGAATACGGATATTCGGTTCTTCTAGTTTCCCATTCCGACAAATCTCGCAATTTCTAGATGGGAGCTCGTGGCTTTGGACTAAGTATTGGTCGGAAAGTCATTGTGAACAGGAATTTGAATCATGATGCTAGATACAGCCTGTGTTGTAGTTTGAATATGTCAACAAGGGAACGGTTTTATAAGTTGAGATGTTCGTCATTTTTACATCTCACTGAAACCTACATACTGGCAAAGTTTCATAGAAATCCATGATCTCGATTGAGCAGGATTGGTCGTCCTTATCGTGTAAATTGCTATTGATACACTTTATACAGGTTACCGCTATATTAGATACAAAGATTAATCCATGTAAACAGTCGCTGATTGCAGGACTAGTCTTCAGATATCCAACTAACAATACATTCAAATCTACGTGGTCTGAAAGGATTGCGTCCTACTATGACTCGTCACTCCATAGACTAGCTGGACTATCTACTTGCAGCGACCTTCATCCTATATATGAGTGAAGAGCACAGTCATTGGACCATTCGAAGGAAAAAAATCAAAAAAAAACAAATTTGATGGTAAAAAAACTAAGTGTTGTATTCGATAGAGCGGTATTGATTGCATATGAAAGTAATATTTTCTCGAACTTCCCTATGATCTGATGGAGATCCGCGAAAAGCTAAGGTAACACAGCGAAAATTGTTTTGCTTTAAAACATAATTTTGAAGAAAATATTCGGAAAATATTTATTATTCATATACAGTTAGATAGATCTGGGTGAAATCCGCCTTGTTAAACATGGCAAGTCTATGACACTCAGGACTAAATACTTTTCCTTTCCTTCTCCAATCAAGAACGTTCAATACTTTATTGGTGACAGCAATTTTCCATCATGTCCATAATAAGATTTACCAGTGTTCGTGTTTTGTAGAAATAAATTGAAAATTTTATTCGAAAATTCATGAAAGAAACCTTGTTCACTGTTCAAATTACTTTCTGACTGTTTCTCTTTGGTATCTAATCAAATCTGTTCAAATGAAACGTCTTCAAACGAAGTGCTCATGATTTTAATAAATTTCTAATGTCGTTCTACACTTTATTAATAAAACTGAACTTCCTCTCTCATGAAGAAAGATTTTCGTTTGACTTTTTAGGATATTACTTTGCTATATGAGGTGAGAAAAGGGTCAAATTTTTGCAAGTGATTTAGTTTACATTGAGTTATAACGATCACAAAGTTTAAAAAGACGCTCTACATTCAGCCTGAACATAGTTCTCTTTTTATCTTCGTATAAAATTTTTATATTAACTAAATTAAGTTTATGAAACAAACTTTTGCTTGTCAACATGTTTTCCTCCTATTTCTATTCGATATCCAATAAAATTTCTTTCAACGAAATACCAATGGTTTTTATGTCACTACACAATAATTAGAAGCGTCTTAATGCATTTTGTCAATAGTATTCCATTCATAAACCTTTGTCTAAAGTGGAAGATTTTAATATATTCCGAAAGCTCTTGGCAAGCTCTACAAATCTAACTAACAAATAAGTTAAAAACAGTTGCATGGAATAAAGAAAAATTGATCTTTCTTCACCAGATGGCCTTAGAAGCTAGATATTTGGCACTATTGCTATGATTTCTCGTAAAATAAAACAGATGAAAACTCGATTTTTTCAGAAGTGCATGGCCATCTCTAAACCAGTAAAACAAAAAAAAAACATTACAAAATCAGTTAAGTAGCACTCAACTTATAGCCATTTTTTCTTGCGGGATACAACAGTACCGTGGGTGTACTCTTCAGTCATATACGATATTATGCATATCGTTGACTTCTACTTGGAAGAATAGCGAAACAGATCGTCATGTTTTCAAACGCGAAAAAGTTTGAAGTCTGAGGAAAACTGCGAAACGTTAGAAAAACAGATAAATCTCATTATTGTGATATCATACAAATTCTGCTGCTTATAGAATTTTCATTCTTCTTTTCAAACTTCGTAGAAAGTACACAAGAGAAGTTTCACAAAATGTGGATGTTTCTCTTGTTCTATCTAGCCTCTGATAAGATATGTTATGACTTCTTTGACTTATAAAACTAAGAAGAAACTGCGAGGACGAACTCGTCTACACGTAGCTATTATACGATTTTTGTTCTAAACGCTGTTCTACATGGATCTAAATGAGGTTGTTTCATGTTGAAATATTTGTTCAAGGTTATCAGAAAGACTTTCAAGGAAAACTAAAATAATTCATTGAGAAAATCACATGCTTTCAAAAATGGTGTTTATTGGTTACATGTTACTTTTAGGACATGCTCTCTTCCATAGGTAAAATATCTATATCAAAGTGAAACTCTGTTTTTTTATCGTCGTTCGCTTTTCTGTTGTTAGTCAGAAAAGAAAAATCTGAGTGTTTCGTTTTTTTTATTAATATTTGAAAATAGGATTCGTAGACAATTTCTTTTACAGGAAAGTTGTGCAAGACTTAAATCTATATAACAGAACATTGAACGAAAATAAGAAGAAAATTAAAATTGATACACATAAAGAAAACGAAGGAAATTCAATTACTTCTAATGTTTCTGCTGTATGTCTTCTTGATGGCAAGGTGAGTGACCAGCGTGCTTAAATAGAATTCAGCTAGAAAATTTCTTTGATTCTCTTTTAAAGTGTATGCCATGATCAACTTCAAAGCACGGGTAAGATGTTACGTTGCTTTTTGAAGAAATGCTTTTACTGTCTGATCCGTTCCGTGTCACAACTCAATCGACAATACCATCACCCAGCCTAGCCTTGGCGACATGCAATTTCACTCTTTGTAAATCGTCATCTTTGCCATGTTCTTCGAATCTCGATTGTGAATGTTTTTCATTGACTAACGCTGTGAATGGAACTATCTCGAGCATTTGTGGTATTGCCGCTCTTCCTTGCAGTTCAATGGTTCGATGCAATTTAGATAATGTTACGTGTTCAATTCCACAAACAATTTGTGTTAGTGGTACACGATGTCAACAACCGGCTTGTTACCCAATGCCATTGGCTAATATTCAAATATGTCCACCAAGTACGTAAGAATGCAACGATTACACAATATACACTAACTTTCATCGAAAACGTAACTTTTCTATCTTAGATCGAATAACAACTCTGACTTCAACAATTACGTGTAAAGCTCAATTCGCCATTTTACAACAAAGAACACGTAGAAAATGCCTTTTTGTCTACCTGTTCAGATGCAACGACGAGTCCAACCTTATCAGTATTAGCTACAAGTAAGGATTTCTTTAATATATTATATTAATGTACTTTACTTTCGTGAATCTAAATTTTTACATTTATTGTTCTTCTTCAGCTCGTCCTGCTAGTACAACAACAACTTCGAGAAGTAAGGAGTTTGGATTTTGTCTTGAGGACATTTGAGTATTCTATTCCCTTCGATTATAGAGAATTCTACGACAATACGAACGACGACAACGACTTTCACAACAAAGCTTACAAGTAAGGACTCTGTAAAGTTCAGTGGCTAAGTCACACATAAAAATATCCAACAATGTACTCAATCAGTGTAGAGCAAAATTGGACATTATTCGCAATCTTTGAGGAGCAAAACTTACAATTCGACGTTATATTCATTTTTCTAAATAAAATTCTGATGTTTTTTATAGTCAGTCTATAATTCTTGTAGCGTCATCAACAAGAGTTCCAAACACAACAGCTGCTTGGAGTAAGGATTTTTTGCTTGGTATCATTGTATAGTGATGTGCTTTTATACTGTTTCGTTTTTGTAGATGCAACGACTACATCGGTAGCGAGAGGTTAATAGCGCGCTTTTTTGAAGAAAAACACTAGAAGATCTCTATTTTGATTCATTTTAGCTACAAATTCGACGGCTTCAGCGAGAGTAACAACACCAATTACGACCAGTATGTAAAGCTTCTTAAAAATGTTATAAAATTATGCTTCTTTCTGTAAGCTCGGCCCACTAATACTACAATGACAACTAACAGAACAAGTGAGTAAAAACGTCATCGTAAGCTTTACTATTTCTATATGTCTTTTGTTTATATATTTCCAGCTAATGGTCAGAGTAATAGTACTATTTCTACGATTAGAGGTAAGCTCTGCGTTGATCCATTCTCGTGGCTGTTGTCATTTGTGAGCATCCTCTCTGTGCTTATGTGTTCTGCTGATATTTTGTGTCACATAATTTCCTAGTAATTCAAAGTTGGCACAGACTTTCAATTTTGACTTCGATTGTACATATTCGAATAATGCTCATCGGGGCCACAACGAAGCTCACCTTTCTAAACTTTTTTGTTCTTATTTACGCCGAGAAAGCTTCAAGACACATAGAATGTCAAAAAACTCGAGAAGCCATTCAGTTTTACGAAAACACCGAGTGCCTCATCAAAGGTTCATACAACTATGAAAAAGTCCTTTTTGGATTGCTTCTGGAAAAACGGTACCGAAAAATGTGAGAACTAGCGTCATATATTGAGAGGTAAAGAACGGGGGCGCATAAGAAGCCAAATCGACCTATCGGACTTTTCTTGGCCAATCCCATTGAATCATATATCAATTGAAGGAACATGTTGAAATTAACATTTTAACACTATTTTCATAGAGTTTTGATCGAATTTTCGAAGCAAGAAGTTATTAACGAAGTAATCCATTTTTGGTCATTAATCCAATAACTAACCCTATCATAGTCGACTCAATTTTTGAAATAGATTGATTATAAAAATTGGTTGTAAAATTAAGTATTTAATAGCTTTTTAATAGCGCTGCAATCCAATATATGAATCAACAATTGATTGTTTGATTTAGTGGGGAGAGGAACTGATATACTGGTAGGCACTGTTGAAATAGGTCCTCCATTTACCATCAACTTTTATCTTTCAACAAATATTTTGCCTTAAAAATGCAAGGTACCCAAATTTTAGTATTGCTCATTGCATCGTCCTTTTGAAAAGCTACCAAACTGTATATTTTCTAATGTCCAAAAAATATAGTCACTAAGACAATTTCAAGTCACATTGTGCTTGGAGTACGGTTTTTTTATATTTTACCCTATTTTTGACCAGTAATGAGTCTTTTTTTATCAACAAAAATCCCAGTCTTAGCCAAAACTAATATCAGATTCGAACTCAGCATCGAAAAATGTGTCGATTTATATATATTTCAAATATCTCCGAGAATTTTCATTTTTCTTCATTTTTTCGGGGTACTCTGAGAAGGAATAGGGATGAATTTTTCGCGAAAAAATGAGGGAGTGGTTGTGAGTCTGTTAGAGAATACAAGATTCACACTCACACCCACACCCATCCAGGAAGAAGAGAAGAGCTGAAGCTTCTAATCATGAAGCGGTAGCGGACTGAAACCCGAAGTATGGACAGAGGTGCCAGTTTCGCCTTCCGTTTCTCTGAATCCACAGTGATTGGTCACAAAATAGAAGAAAAGGTGTACATGAACATTCTGCCATGCTCGAAAACGTCCAAAAATGATCTATCAACTGTGTACGTGTTTCTTGGGACAAAGGGACTCAAGGATCGAGAACCCTGACAGTCCTACCGCCAATTATTCGACCAAAGCGCTAATTTCTACTCTACAATATTGGTTACTGTTGCTGAAAATATGCAGTTGACTGAATCCAGAATTCCTGTATGGAAAATGAGCAAACACAAAACCGTCTGCGGTTCCCTGTTGTTGGAAACCCACAGTAACTTGTCACAAAACAAGAAAAACTATACTTAAAATCAGAGTTGTAACCGGTTGAGAATACTCAAACCAGTTCGGTTCGGTCGGTTTCTAAATGTGTTTCGATTCGAAAAAAACTGATTGGTTTGTCAGGCCATTTTTTATCATTTAAAGAAAAACGGAGTGCGGGTGTGGTTGCGGTACTATTTTCACTCCACACCTACACCCACACAAAGAGCCCTACGCTTAGGGCAGTGTGGATCAGTGAATCTAGTGACAATGCGGTAGAAAAAGGAAAATAAACGACATGCGAAGCTCTAATTTTTTATGACAGTATTAAGTAAGGAAAGGCACCATCTATTTCACGGTATTATAGCAATAAATAAAAGAAGTGGATACAATACATAAAAACGAATATTGAAACAACACGTGTGATTCTGCCACATTTTGCCGAGTAATCACCTATTTTTCTTTAAGCCATTTTATAACCACTGAGGACACATTATTCGTAATAAACATGATTTAAACTTCTCACTTGACGAAATTTAAAATACATACATTAGCTATGTCCTTACTTACCCTCGGATTTCCTAATCGTCGCTACGCAGTCCATTTTGTGTTCCATTGTTTGTAACTTGGCAAGCTTCCGTGGAACTTTCGGAAAATATATAGATCACTAGTAGGCTTCTTCGTTCATGTACATTATATAGTAAATCCGCAAGATTTCTACTGACTGTAGGTAAAGAGTTTTCTTCAAGACAACTCGTTTTTTTTTATTTTTTCAAAATAAATTATCAACTTTGTACGCCCGGTATTTCGAAAACGGAGCGATAGCACGGAAGGTTCTTTTTTACCAATCGATAGTTCATTGGAGAGTAAAGAGTTAATACATTTAAAAATTTCTTCTAGCATGGTCACCTACTGGTAACATGAATATTTTTCGATTTAAGCATACAGAATCTGTATTACATAATGGAAAAGTGTTAGTTGCTGGTGGAGCTACTACATCTTATGATCAAAGTAGTGCTGAGTTGTATGATCCATCGACAGGAAATTGGACAATCACTGGTAGTATGCATGATGCACGATTTGGACATACTGCATCCGTGTTAACAAATGGAAAAGTGCTAGTTACTGGTGGAGCAAGCACTTCTCCTAATACGAATTATCTAAATAGTGCTGAATTGTATGATCCAGTAACAGGAATTTGGACAACTACTGGAAGCATGAATAATGCACGATATGAGCATACGGCATCCGTATTAACAAATAGAAAAGTGTTAGTCACTGGTGGATATTCGTAGCGTGACATGGGAAGTACTACTGAGTTGTATGATCCATTAACAGGGAACTGGACACCTACTGGTAGCATGAGTTACGGACGAGATCGCCACACAGCATCTGTATTAGTAAATGGAAAAGTGTTGGTCACTGGTGGATATAATTTTCCTAATAGTCTAAACAGTGCTGAATTGTATGATCCATCAACAGAAATTTGGACAACTACGGGTAGCATGAATAATGGCCAGTCCGAGCACACAGCATCGGTATTGGCAAGTGGTAAAGTATTAGTTGCTGGTGGTAGTAATGCCGAATTGTATGATTCATCAACAGAAAATTGGACAACCACTGGTAACCTGAATAATGGACGGTCTAGACATGCAGCATCCATATTAACAAATGGAAAAGTGCTAGTTACTGGTGGAGTGGGTGATTCAAATACCGCTGAATTGTATGATCCATCAACAGGAATTTGGACAACTGCTGGTAGCATGAGAAATGAACGATATGACCACACATCATCTGTCTTACCAAATGGAAAAGTGTTAGTTGCTGGCGGATGGCCTTATAGTTATCTGGGTAATGCCGAAATATATTAATGACAATAACTATGTTAACCATATACGACGTTTAATCTTTGATACAAAAAACTATTGACGTCAATTCTTATTGACATTTGTTTAACTGAGATTAGATTTCGTTTGCGGTGAGAAGGGTGGATGTGGGTGTGGGTCCTGTTCTTCTACTCATCAACACTCACACCCATATCCCACACGCCACACCGGCACACTACACATCACACCCACCCACACCCACACCACCCTCTTATAGCCAATGAACAATTAATTCCTGACGAGTGACGACATTTAATCTGTTGCTTATTCAATATTTCAATCATTGGATCTTGATTGGTTTTGTGTATTGTTTTTTGTCAATAAAAATCTCTTTTGCGCTTCTAATAACTTGGAAAATAAATGTTAAAAATCTATTATTTAT